GGTAAGTTATCTATATATCTATGAGAACTAATAAATGAGAGAGTCCAAAACACAACTGCACGTCACCTTAAGTTTAGTTTCCCTGTGGAGAATGGCTTTTCTATTCCAGGATTATTATGTAATGTTGTAAATTGCCATGTTCCTTACTATGTAATTCCCATGGTATTTGCTTTTGTCTGAAAAGAATGATTGTTCAATGCCCTCCTGCATGAGTAGTTACAGTTAGCAGTGACAATATTTCACACAAGAGTTCTCCTATTCTCTTCCCAAAGCACGAGTTATTCCACTTGCATCAGTGAGAATAACAAACCTTTCAAAGCCCTATATTTTCTAGCTTTAAATCTATTCATTAATAGTGGCAGCTTCTTCCTTGAAGATGGCATTTTTATCACTGAAAAATTGGAGGATTAGAACCAATTAATGTTAATATTTATGTCTTGATCTTGCATGTATTTTGTAAATAGGGAGCTACATCTCACCATCTAGGGCAGAACTTTGCCAAGATGTTTGACATCAAGTTTGAGGATCCTGATGTGGTGAGTAGTGACTTAATGCCTTATATGATCATAGGGAATATAGTAAAGGACGAAAATTCCTTGGTTCTTATAGATGTAGAAGAGATCTAATTCATCAAAAGTTTTATCTGAGGTGCCTGAGAGTATGGATACTGTTTAAATTAAAATCTTTAATAGTAGAAATTATGAAACAATGAAATTAAGAAAAATAGAATTCAAGAGCTTCATATAAATATGAAATGATTTTCTTGTGGAAAAAAATCTTCCATATAAGTTTGTCTACAAGGCCACTCCTTCTTGCATCAGTTATATTAACAAATTAAATTGATATATAACAAGCGTATTAATTCTTTTTCTTCAATTACAAGGTTGCTAAGTTAAATAGTAAAGTTTTTGACGATTGGTCATTAGTAGAAGGCGTGGTCAAGGAGGGGAGGGGCTAAAAATATCCCAGTTCAGTATTAAAAGGCTGATGACATAAAGAAAAGTGGTTATATGATGTCAATTAAATCTCATTACCAAGTAATGTACCTTCCTTCTCTTAGCCGAATGCCCACAAGTATGTGTTCCAGAACTCGTGGGGTATAACCACCCGAACCATTGGTGTGATGTGTATGGTGCACGGAGATGATCAGGGTCTGGTGCTACCACCAAGAGTAGCTTGCGTTCAGGTGAGTGACTTCAAATAGTCCTGATTTATTAATGTTGTGTACATTTCACAGGATGTTTCTCATTCCTGATGCAGACTATAACATAGCATTGTGAGTTGAATGACTTCCAATTAGAAAGATATAAGAGACACATTCTCCATGGGATATTTACCAGTTAAAAATTAAAGTGTATAAAAGGCCATCTAGTCGATCACTGACTCCAAACAGTCGTAAAAGGTTTCGTTTTTTTAAAAACATTTTATGTAGTTATTTTGGGAAATCCCCTATACTTCGTAATATGCAACAGAGGTGTTATGTACTTGCAAGACTTCTGTATACATATATATTACTATGTTCACTTTATGGTTTGGATCAATAGGCTATCGTCATACCATGTGGCATCACAGCCAAGACTACCGATGAGCAGAAAAACAAACTTCTAGACAAGTGCCATAACTATGTGAAGATCCTGAAGGCTGGTGGAATCAGAGCTCAGAGTGATCTCAGAGATAACTACTCTCCTGGATGGAAGTTCAACCATTGGGAACTCAAGGTTAGTCATCAAGTTTCTCTCTGGTCTAATTTCTTTCTCTACTGCCCTCCAGTGTTTCTTTTTGCAAAGACTGTCAATGTAAGAAGTTACAATAAATTAGAGTTGTGTCAAAATTTGTGATGTTGAAATGTTTCTACAACACAAACTGTAGTGATAAATTCACCCCTGTCAATTCCTTCTCTATCCGAATTCTTAACGCCAATGCTTGACCGAACATACCCAACTCTAACCCTCAACCTAACCCCAAACCTCATTTCAACCCTAATCCTAAATCTCTGATGAAACCCATCCAACAGGAGATGTCACCATCAGAAATTCATGGAGTCAGAATTGTTGAATGTTTGTTGATTGTCTCTTCATTTTATTTGGTTATCATATCGGCTAGAATCCAACAAAAGGAGCCAAGCATGTATCATTTAAAGTGCTTTCACTGGGACCAGGTAATTTGAATGTGTGCTGTAACAATGTAACATCAGGTCAGGTTCTGTGTCCGGTACCTGTTAATTCCAAGATTCCATTGCTCCAGCCACTTTGCTATTGACCATTTCATGTAATTGATATATAATTTCTATTAATCTTTAACCTTGTTTAAATGTAGGGAGTGCCAGTGCGTATTGAGATTGGACCACGTGACATGAGCAAGCAGGAGTTCATCGCTTGCAGACGAGACAATGGAGCCAAGACCACCTTCCCTGAGGCTCAATCTGTTGCCAAGGTTACTGAGCTGCTTGACCAGATCCAAAATGACATGTTTGCTAAGTAAGTCATTGATTGCCATGGAATTGAACTTGATGTTCTCCATTAAACATGGTTAAACAAATTTCAAGATATCGGTGTAAGGGTAATCCCCTGCCTTCTCTCTCTCCCTCTCTCTCTGCACCCATCCCTTTCCCTCTCTCTCCCTCTCTCTCTCTCCCTCTCTCTCCCTCTCTCTCTCTCCTTCTCTCTCCCTTTATCTCTATCTCTCTCTTTCAGTCTTTCCCTTTCTTGCACTTCCCCCCACTCTCCCCTCTCTCTCTCTCTCTCTCTCTCTCTCTCTCTCTCTCTCTCTCTCTCTCTCTCTCTCTCTCTCTCTCTCCCTACCTACCTACCTACCTACCTACCTTCACCATTTCTTAAATACCAATTTATACATCAATGCAACATAATATACTTGTTTTATACTATGATGATATTTGCCCATTCACCATGTGATGATTGTTAAACAAAATTCTTTTTGTATATTTTTCTTCTCAGTGCTAAGAAGGATCTTGATGGTCACATTGCAGTGACCAGCTCCTGGAACGAGTTCTGCGATAGACTGGATGAAAAGAAGGTAAATACATTCCTTTCTAGGGTATTTGTATGAATACTTGTGTTACCAATCAATTATTCATGTTTTCTTCATAAGATTTAAAGACCCTTTGATTGATTAAATTAAAACAGAGGTGGAAATGCAAAGGACATGTTTTGAGCACCGGCACTGCACGTATGTTCTTGAGCAAGACATTTTATCTACATTGCTCCTCTCCACCCAGGTGTTAAATGGGTACCCAATAGAATACAAACATATTTTTGGTTGGATTAGCAAAAGGCAACCAGCTGGAATGCTCCCAGTCAGTAGAGAATGTGCACTGTAATGTGCAGAATAAGAATTCAATCCAGTAACTGGTTGATAATAATGCTGTAAGCGCTTTGGTATAATTGGTAATTCTAGGAGACGGTGTGAATTTATGAGAATCTCAAATTAGAGGGGAGCATCAGAGGATCTAGCTGAACAAATAAGCACATAATATGTTTTACCAAATTTCAATATTGATGTTCATGGAAACTAGAAACCATCACAAGCATGAAACTTTCTCAAATACTATGCCTGGCCAAGATCCATGAGATTCATGACAATTTCATGCTGCAAAAAAATTAGTTGATAGTGAGTCCAACTATTACATGATTATTGTTTTTATTTTCAGCTTCTCCTTGTTCCATACTGTGGTGATATTCCATGTGAAGACAGGATCAAGAAAGACAGTGCAAGGTTAGCTCCTACCCCTTTCATTTTTTTTCACATCCCTCATTTTCTTTTTGTTGAACCCTTCATGGCATATTCATTATGCTACATATTTCTGCAGAGAATTTCAACTTTGCTTATGATGTAAAAAGAAATGTCTTTTAATAAGGAGGTTTCATGTCAAAGAACCCAAAGTGCAAATTTGATATAGATGAAACATTGTACTATATGTTTAGGAGCTTCTTCAGTACCGTATCTAAACTTCAAGAGAAAATCCAGATTGAATCAGTCAAATGAATGGAAGTAGAATGCCATGAAATCTTGAATCACTCTATAATAAGTTGAAGTTCAAAAGATCATTCTATAATAGGTTTAAGATAAAAAGATGAACGATGAATACATTTATGTAAGAACTGTTGTGATATCTCCATCTAGGATCATGGTTACTTCCTTCAACGGTTTGTTAAAACCCCAAATCAAAGGCAAGGCTACATGCAAAATCCAATAGTTCATGATATGAGATTTCAATGAAGCCTAATCATGTCCTCTTGTTTCCATCCATTCACAGAGACCGAGATATGGTAGAAGGGGCTCCCTCTATGGGTGCGAAAGCATTGTGCATCCCATTCAAGCAGCCAGCGGAGATCTCTCCCGGTACGCACTGCATACTCCCAGACTGTAAGAATGATGCCAAGAAGTACACGCTCTTTGGACGTAGCTACTAGAGTGATCCACCCCTCCCACCCTGACACAATATAAACCACTGCCCCCCCCCCCCCCCTCCCCGATTTAATCATGTGCACTCATATTCCTATCCAATCCTTGCCCCATCAAGGCTATTAAAATGAAGTTTGGTACTCATTGCTACATACTTTTCTATTTATTGGTAGTTACTAAGATTAAATACTGTAAACGTTCTCTTTTTTTTACAAAGTGTTAATTATTGATGATTACAGTAGGGTGTACCATTCTGCTAGGATATGCCTGTTGGGTACAATTTTAGAAAGTAGCTTAAAAATGTTTTTATTTTCCTCACAAATTCTGAACTCTATTACAATTTTGAAGAAATCTTGGTCAAAAATGGTTTCTATTATTTTTGTTTAATGAATGAACTAGGGTCAGTGTTAATTAACATGACTTCATTTGGTGCACACTTTATAATATTTTATATGAAATTATGGACCCATATTTGTTCATATACATTCAAGACATATTTTTCTTAGGCTGATATTTAACTAACCTAGTAAGTTTAGATCTTATTGTAATAGACAAGAAGTATACAGGTAATCCAGGTATTAAGTTATTTCCATGTTTTATTCGAAGCACTGAACTAGAGCTTTTTTTTAAACACAAAAACAGGAACACACAACAAAGAATTGATACTTCAACTTCCAATGAATGACATGCATGAGGGAATTACATTATAACTAAGAGCAAATTTCTCTTGGCCACGAAACATACCAATACAGTTTATCATTCCGTGTTTGGGACAGTACCATGTCAGCAATAGAGAAAAAATTCTGCTAATGGTTGAGTTACTTATATCTACTACCACACATATATGAATAATATGTTTCATATTTGATTCCATATCAATATTTGTTGCTGAAGTTTGGATCCTAACGCATAATTATTATGAACTTTCTAAATCACAAGTTGTGTAGAACGCTTGTAATGGGACTGAAATTTGTTTAAAACTTGCCATTCTGTCACCAACATTCTTTTGTTGCTCATATTTTCTTGGAAAGGACAAAGTTCTTTGTGATAGTAATATTTCCTTAATTTGGCTGGGCTACTTAACAAATATTGGGAGGATATTGTGAATTGATATACCATTTTAATTTTAGTCGTTGTCATACTTGTATGCCCTTCTTTATGAATATGCCCAGCTGTCATATGTGTAGCACAAACATATTAAATTCAGGCATGACATTTCATTTACTTCATCAGCAATATGTATTGCAGTTTTCTCCATTTTACTATACTAAATTAATATTTGGTATTCAGCTCAGCAGTATATCATTGTTAGCAAATTCTACATTGACCCGGTTTAGGAGCAATGTATTTGTTTTGAAAGTTCAAAATCAAAAGCATTTGTCACATTTTTTAAACAGGAATGAAAGTATCACATGTGATGACAGATGATTGCTAGTGAAAGTTCCAAACTTTCAAATCAAGTTGAATTTCAGAATTCAAAATACATCCACCCTGCATTGAAATGTATAGCATAAGGAACATTATTTATAGATGTTTTAGCAGAAAATAAAATTTACTTTGATATCCCTATCTCTCATTGCATTACTATCAAATTGTTTTAATATGCATCTCTTTCATTAGTTGATGATTGATTTATTGAAATTGATTGATTGATTGATTAGTTGGTTGATTAATTGACTTTTTGATGGTACTGTACAGGATTTGATTGTTTTGATTGGTATGCTTAATTTAATTAATTGAGTGGCTGATTTATTTATTTATTTGATTGACTGATTGATCAATTCAATTAATTGGCTAACTGATTATTGATTGAATATTTTATTAATTTGATTAGAAAATTAGCTAGGATGGCTGATGAAAATCTGCATTAATCAATTTCATGATATGTCATACATTAAAAAGTTAGCTACAAACACCTGCAATTACGGCCAGTTACAAGAATTAGTCCAATATTTCAGTGCATATTTTAAAGTAACCATGTTAAACTTCTAGTTCTTTTGTACATAAAACAATTCATTACAAAGGTTAAATCTCTGACCTTAATGAGACATGGATATATATTTAACTTATCTAGACGACGATACGTAGTTTGAATACATACACTCCAACAACAACACTTTATTTCATAATTCACTTCAGAGCCCTGTTTCATCAAACTTGTTATCAATAACAAAAATGATAGAATTCTGTGACAAATACGTTCTCAGTCAATCAGTCGCCACGATTTCAGTAGCTTATAACAGTTATTGCAACTTGTTAATGATAACGAGGTTTATGAGAAAGCCCGGAAATAATGTTGTTTTGCAGATTGTGAAGATGCCTAACATCAAAGGTACTGTCTCTCTACCAAACGCCCGATATTGAACGCCCGAGATACATGTAACGTCACAGAAATCATTGTTTCATTCAAGACTTCCACTATCAAATATCTCCGTAGAAATAGATTCCCCTCTCTTCCATCTTCTTAATTTTCTTAGCTTTCTTAATGTTCCTTTGACGTCATAACTCCTTGACCACACCGAACGATTTCGAACGATCTTTAGGATGTAGTAAAGGAGCATTTTCATCTGGTGTCCCATCGCTGGGCATCATACCGGAGAACGTGCTTGGACGAACGCGTCTGATTCGGGTAACATTTCCATTGGTAGTGCGGAATATTAGAAGGGTTGGTATGAACATGATGGCACTCTCTACGGTCAGGAGGAAACAATGCCACTCTGGAAAAGAAAAAAGACTGTATGAATACATCAGAAATTAAAAAAATATAGAGTGAATGCTGCTTAAAAGAGAAAAAAATCACAAACATTAAGTATCTTACTGAAAATTTTAGTATACACTGCTAACAGAAGACATACGTATGTGTTCGGACTTTAGCACACATAAAATATATATCTTGATGCATTTTAATAGTATACTCGGCCACCCCCCCCCCCCCCCTTCTGCTCCTGTTTCTCTTTTTTTTTTCTCTTCTTTTTTTCTTCTTCTCCCCTTCTTATTGTTTCTTATTCCTTTAATTCCTTTTTTCCCCTTCCTTTTCTTCTTAGTCTTCTTTCTTGTCCTTCTTCTCCTCCTCATAATTCTCTTCTTCTCCTCTTTGTCCTCTTTCTTTTTCTTCCTCTATGATTTACCAGTCCTTTTTAAGAGATGTTCTTTCGGAAGGGTTCACGTTCAACAATTTTTTGAAAATTTCTAAATTTATCCATCCCTCATAAAACTATTATACAACCGACTTACGGTATCCCCTGTCGGGCGTGTCGAACGGTTTATTGCACTTGATGACGTCGAATCGAGTGAGGATGATGAGGAGAACGGATTGGACGTTGCTGAGAATGAGAGCCGTCTGCACACACAGAAACTTGATTTTGATTCTGTATGGTTTCAGAAAGTTTTTACTGGCGGAGAAGAAAACTATGAGGGCTGAGACAGCGAAGATGGCTGATACCAGTGTGATGCAGTTCAATATGAGCGTGGTAGTCGCGGCGACGTCCTTGATAAAAAAAATCAAAATGCATGAATAATACCATCAACACGTAGGGTGATCGACCAGCATAACAAAGCATTAACATATTTCTAATGCCGAAGTGTCTGAAATATTGTTTTATATAGAATTAAATTATGTCGGTAGAAGTGCTCAAAATTTTAGTGAAAGCTTAGAATATAAAAGTCGGCTAGTGTCCTGAAAATGTCTAGAATATCCAAGTTTCCTTCTTCCTCTACCCTCCCCCTCTCTATCTCTCCCCTCCCCCTCTCTCTCTGTCTCTCTGTCTCTCTCTTTCTCTCTATTTCTCTCTCTCTCTCTCTCTCTCTCTCTCTCTCTCTCTCTCTCTCTCTCTCTCTCTCTCTTTTCTCTCTCTCTTTTTTCTATATCTCTCCCATCATACCTATTACATTCCTATTACATACGATTATGACTTTTTGGTACCTGCATGCCTATGTAGCGTCCCGGCTCCGTTACACAAAACATGCCGCCTAGATAGCTATTGATCGTACGATTGATTATTGCGATTGATTGCACATAATGGTCAAAGCAATCAATCGCCATAATCGATCGTACGATCAATTGCTATCTAGGCGGCATATTTTGTCTTACAGGGCCCCGCTCTAGATATTAAACGTTTTTAATCAAACACACTCCACTCCTGCAACCATGCAGCTCCTTGAGTGGTTCACACTTACAGGGCAACAAGAAACAAGTTATAACGACCGAATAGACAAAAATTTCGTTGTGTATTCGAAATGAAAATTAATTTAAAAGACCCGATGACCCTAATAACAGTAAATATTTTTACCGGATTTTCATTGAGTGAGCCATCGATTTTCAACACCTCCGTGATGAAGAGAATGACAGGTCTAATGATAGCAGTCTGTAGAACACACGTCTCCAGTATACGGTAGTTTCTCCTTCAGATTGAAAGCAACAAAATGTGTCACAGAATCAGTTAGTAATGTTACATTGATGATTTCATGATAAAATGTCTGAATAACAGAAATTTAAAAGACCATTATATTGCGACTTACTTGATATACATTTTATTTCTGTTTAAATGCAAACTTAAAGTTCTAAAGGACTGAAATTAAGTACAGTTAAGTACACCCAAGGGAGACAAGAAAATTGATTTTTTATAGACAGGTGGTCTTTACGTACAGGTTCCTTTAGTACATGTTACAATGAGAAACCAATTCCAAGGGAAACAAACAAATGTGATCTTTGTAGACAGGGAGTCGTCGTTAAGTCTGGTTTGAACAGATTTGACTGTATATAGATAACAGGGTAGCTATCTCACCTACCTTTCTTTTCTTGTGTTTTATAAGCAATGCAAATTTTTAACACAAAAACTTCATGTAAACTGCTTTTTTGAAGCTGTTACTATCTTTGTTTCATCATTACTGACTCTGTAAATTAGTGTAAAGCCAGCATTTTTATAAGGGATGTAGACAAAACTAATATACCGACAAATTTAATAAGAAAACTGCAAACATCTGCCATTATTCACCGATTAATGGCAAAGTATTAATTAACTTTATGAACGCGATTTTTAAAGGTTCACCGTGAATGTTCGTGATATACATTTATGGTTAAACGTAACATGTACTCAGGCGCGTACGCAGGGGGGGGGGGGTTTGGGGGGTTAAACCCCCCCCCCCCCCCTTTGGAAATTTTTTGTGTGTAAACCCCCCTAAAAAAAACCTAAAACCCCCCCCTTTTGGATTTTTTTTTTTTTTTTTTTTTTTTTTTTTAAATTATTCCCATGGCCGACCTAAAAAAGGTGACCTTACCCCCCCCCCCCCCCCCCAACGGAGCAAAATGTCAAATTTCCAAATTTCGAGACCAAAAAAAAAAAAAAAAAAGTGTCCTCTTACCCCCCCCCCCCCCCCCCCCCCCCCCCCCCCCCCCCCCCCCCCCCCCCCCCCCCCCCCCCCCCCCCCCCCGCTTATTCAGCGGTCGGCTGAGTCGTTGCGATTTTTTTGGGACCAAAAAAAAAAAAAAAATGTGTCCTCTTACCCCCCCCCCCCCCCCCCCCCCCCCCGCTTATTCAGCGGCTGGCTGAGTCGTTGCGGACCGATTTATAAATGTTAAACCCCCCCCCCCCCCTTGAAAAAATCCTGGGTACGCGCCTGCATGTACTATATATACACAGCATGATTTCATAAGACAGAATCCTTTAAAAACTGGAAGCTGGAATTACCAATTTTAGTAAGGTAAGCTCTAACCTTGTCATTTCGAATTTCGGTAAGCACTGGAATAGACACAACAGTGGTGGTCTAGCGAGAGAAAACTTGGTTCCATTCATGGTAATGATCATGGCATCGAGACCACCGAAATAGTCAACAATCAAGGTGATGAACTGGTAAAGGCAGACGGCGAAAAATCTAAGAAACAAACAGTAACACGAATAATTTTGATATTGCTAGTCATCTTGAATTCATAACACTTTTATAACCAATTTATAGTTTAAAAAGGATAACACTGAATATTAAACAAAAATTGCTTGTAAGTCACACAACCAGCTGTCAATTTTGGAAGATGAAATCAGCAAATAGAAAATAGAGTACAATCAGAATAGGGATTTTATGACCAAAAGAAAATCAGTTGAGTAAAGGCATTACAGACATTTGCATATTGTATAAGAAATATATTTATCATGATTGATTGAGTGATTGATTGATTGATTTTATTCGCCAAGCCTCCAACATAAAACAATATAAAAGAATAACATATCAAAATTAAGTCAGCTTGAACAAGATAACCCACGAAATAATTTATATTCCAATTGTTAAACGTATAGAGACTTTCCGTTTTCTTGAAAGGGAAGACATTGAATATGGTTTATGTTACTTTAATCAGTGGGTACAATATTATCTCAGTTAGGAAACTAGGCTTGCGCATTTTTGTCATTAGACTTGATCTTTGATCAGGTAAGCCGATAAATTAAACTAAATTACCTTTCAGTTTCCTTATGTTATCGCGATATTGTTGACTCAAATATACATTATCTCATTTGTTTCAATGATCTGACGTCTTTTGACATTTTGCCCTTAGTATTGGGCGTTTATTCAATAACTAGTTACTTATCTCAGTGTTTACATTATTGTTAGGGAAGATCAATGATATCATATTTATCAATGCTCAAACTTAAGGGGAATATATCCAGGTCCAATAAAACTTATATAGCTTTTCTACAAAAAAACTGATTGAATGTATAGGCCTATATAGACCTATTCACCTGCAAGTTACATATTCAACAGGCAATTCTTAATTACTATTCATAAATTCACAAGTCAATCACTATTCTAATTTCTATTTATATTATTGGTATTTTTTCAATTAATATTTTTCTGTTATCGTTCCATATTAACTCTGATTGATTTTTAATTACATTTTATTTCATTGAGGAATGTGATCTCTTCCTTGAACAACAATTTTAATCATATGATAGAGAGTAAATGCAATACTTGAGAGAATCATAATTCAGTTTCGACTAGAATCATTTTCAGATAGAACGAAACGGTCTGCGTTTGATGCTGTTTTTCCAAAATCATTTTCTTAATCAATCTAAAAGCCTGCAATAATTTTTTCATATAAACTATACAATAATACACAATTGCGAATAAACAGTGGTAAACAATACTCGTCATGAAGTGCAGAAGTTTAAGGCAAAGTTGTACAAGGTAATATTATATGTTCATTTCTATTCCGCCCTTTTCCTTCTTTTCTAAGCGCATAGGGACTTTCTTTGTGTTAGTGATATGCGCTATACAAATAACGTTCATTATTATTATTATTATTATTATTATTATTATAAAAGAAAACAGGAGAAGATAAACATGAAATAAAATGATTAACGAATACAAATAGATTGGCTTGGAATGAAATCGATTAAAGTGCTTACGCTGTTCCAGTGAGAGTACATAATCCAGCTGCCCTTGGGATGTAAAGACCAAGTAAACATGTTGCACAGAAAACCTGCAGATTAATTGAACATTAGTTTTATCTTTATAATCAAATGATATCTTACATCAAAGAATTACTTCAACTCAAAGTCCAATCACACAGTCGTAGCCTGCGCAGTTCCACAGATAAATTATTGTTTCAGATTCCCCATGGCAAAACTAAAGTAACTCTTGGGGACCGTGCTTTTGCTATTGCTGCCCCCAAACTATGGAATAGCTTGCCAATAGAAATAAGAAGCACTCCATCTCTCAATGTTTTTAAATCCAATTTAAAAACTTATTTGTTCAACTGAGTGATCTTATTTTGTAGAATTTAGTAAAAAGGAGCTCTTAACCAGCGCAGCTGAATATATTTTTTATAAAAGCTGCGCTTTATAAATTTATTATTATTATTATTATTATTATTGATATCTCCAACAACGATAACGTTATGGTTGCATGAGATATGTATGTATAAAAGCAATATATTCACAAATTGGGCCCATCTAATACCAGACTCCCTGCAACATTACGGTAACCATAGTAACCAGGTATCATCAATCAGTGAATGAGGATAGGTGATTTAATCATAATCATCAATCAGAGGACCATGTGATTGAACACCCGAATCCATAATTCATTATCAATTCATTGTTACACTGTCAGAACCTACACTTATGAACAAAATCCGACCATAATTATGTTGCCGATAAAACGGCTTTCGGTTCTATGATGAAAAGAGCATGTGACAAGAGAAAACATTATCGTTCCCTCTTCTTTGTATTGTGGTATGTGATTAAGTTCGTTATAAATTCTCAATGTATAGCGAGTCATTAGCGATGTCATTACTGTTATTACCTGTTGTATTATCACTTGGATGATTCACTGCCCGTCTGACGTTTAATCATCGACTGATTAATTATTTTGTACTACCGGAATCAATTTCATCTCACACAATGGTGCCCTCTATACGGTATATAGGGTCGGTGCCGCAAATTCATTTCAGAATGGGAAACAAAGATAAACATTATGACAGCCAAGGCTAAACGCCTCTCACAAAAAAATAGTCTAAGGTCTCACTTAACCCATCCAGAAAAATAACCATACACAACGTAACTACATCAATGGTGAGCCGTACTATCTGACACATTAAACATAGTTTAATCGTGTTTTAATATTCTTAAACTAATATAGGACAATCGATGTCATCGATATACTGTGTGTAATAGAGAGTAATTCTTTTCATCTCTTGACTGGGGGAAGGGGGAGGTATGTAACAAATATCCCATCAAAATGTAATCATTTGATAAAATATATGTTTGCTTTCATCGGTTATCTTTGTATCTATAATTGATGATAATGATAATGATGATAATAATACTAATACTACTTATTACTACTAATGATAATATTAAGAAAAAGAAGAAGAAGAAGAAGAAGAAGAAGAAGAAGAAGAAGAAGAAGAAGAAGAAGACATGGGGAGAGAGTTGCAAATGTAGAACGTTAGTCGGGCTTGGATTCGAACCGTCAACCCTTGGATCGAGAGTCAAGTGAATAAACCACTATACCACGACACATCCACAATCTAATTAGCTGTTCGATTAATGCTACCCAAAGTGTTAATCATTATGGTAGCCCTTATACTTACCGGGTAGATGCCTATAAGCCAGACAATACTTGTTCGTCGATCACTATAGGGTATATACCTTAACACCCACAGCCAAGCTTCGAAGAATAGAATCACTTCTATCAATGTGATGATACTACATGTGATTAAGATCGGTAGCATCTGAGGGTTGTCCTCTAAAAGATCTTGAAATGAAAAAAAAAAAGAGAAATATATCATAAACACACCTTTGAATAACAAATCAAAGAAAGTTTTCTAAAACTTGATTTACTAATTTCCCATCAATCTGTAGTTTTTGATCGCTTTTACCCAAAACCCTTCCCAAAGAATGTACTTTGCTTTTCACACTCTTTTTGTCCCACTACAAATTATTTTGGAATGGAAATATGTGAATTGGTTATTTTGACAATTTTGGCATACTTTTTTTGAATCGAATTGAATTGAATTGAATTGAATTGTATTGAATACTAGGTCGGAACTTGACATAAAAATGGATTTTATTTGATTCATCATTAATGTATACTATATTTCATTTTACCAACAGTTTCTTTAAAAGTCCCATTTTTTGAAAACCGTCACATCTCTTTCCAAATGCCAATCTAAACAACCCCAATAGCATTGTAATCAGAGAGCGGAAAGCGTTCTTCCGTATAAATATCCGAGTGTATTAATGGTTACAAAACTTGGGATACAGAGAAGAGACCGGACAGAATCTATTTCCGTATAAATTCACCGAGCAAAGCGGGTTCTATACAACTAGTAATGAGATAATTCGAAAAAAAACACAATATTATTGAACTAGATATCGATTCCGTTGTTTACAGGTCATTAAAAATCACAATGCTTATAAGCAAGCATCATCTGCAGACACACTGATTATTGACGCAAAAGGAAGATCTAGATAGCAAGGCGTTGTGAAGTGCGTTCATCATCATTTACTAGAAATTTGACTCAGGAAACACGTTTGTGTTCATTTCATCATCATATACACACAAATTTCATTCTGGTATTCATGTAAGCAGATAAATATAATGATAATTGTCATACTTTCCAGCATTTCATTTGCCAGTGGAGTGTAGGAGCAGTTGTTTGCCATGGTTCGGTCATAAATCTCGCTCGTTCAGTTGATAATTGATCGTTAGAGTCCGATTTGAGAATGTCATTGATAGTTCAGTATCGGTACTCCAGTATACAGACAAGCGCACATAATCATACAAATAATCACATCCTTGTGACACGATGGTGTTATATCCAAGTTAAAACACTTTAGAGGTATAACAGCGTTGTGTAGAATCGTCGACCACTGTCTTGTTGAATAGAGCGATCTAGATTTGTGTGAAAAAGCACGATGCACTTTAGCCTTAGCGTGTGATATTGACATTTCAGTGGCAAGGGGTTCCGATAGGACTGAAAACCTTGTGTTTGTAAGAGCTTTTATTTATTTTAAAGACTTAGATCTCGAGGAAGATCAACATCGATGCATAATGGAGCTCTCGAGTTCAGGGGTGTTGCCAGACCAGTTGACCGCAGGGGGGGGGGGGGCGGAAAATATGCCAATAAGTTATATAGGGCAAACATGTCAAGCAATTATGTTTTCACAAAATTGCCGACATAGAAGTTTGAATTGGGTGTGACGGTTCTGGGATAATTACCCCCTGGGCAATCACCCCCGGAAACTACTACCGGGACAATTACCCCTCCCCCCCTCAAGGACAATTACTCCCCGGAAAATCACCCCCCCCCCCCCCTCCCTAAGGAAAACCACCCCGAGGATAATTTACTCCGGAAAATTACCCCCCCCCCCCCCCCCCGTGGACAATAAAATTACACCCGAAAAAATTATGATTTTATTTAAACCAACTTATTATCAGGGTGGACTTCCCATTTAATGAACAGGGGGTGGCCTAAAATTTGGGTGGGGGTCGTCCTTGGCTGTCCTGGGGGTGGTTGTACTTATGAGGGGTAATTTTCCGGGGGGTTATATTATTGTCCTTTGTGGGTAGTTTCCGGGGGGTAATTTCCCGGGGGTGATTGTCCAGGGGTAATTGTCTTGCATGATACGGCTCGGGTCACATCCACATTCGTACCATCTTGCGACTCTTCTGCTCAAATGCATGCGAGTACTGTGACATATCCTCCAGTACGTAGGCTTACAATAAAAGGGAAATTATTTGGGGGATAATGGTATGAACAAGGAGTCATGAATTAACCTACAGTATATTGAGTAAAGGATGTAATAGTTGGAACTCCTATGTAAATATCGTCCTCACACAGGGCTAAACACCGATTAATAGATAAACTAATCGAAAACTAAACTAAGTCATGGAGCTAGACCTCTGTAGACAAAGTGAACTTTGAACATTTTCATCATTGAAAAATCCCAAGACAAGTGATGTTATGAGCTGAATTGCAGGCACCGATAATGCATGGGAGTTTCAATTAAAGAGTGCAATGTGTATACGCGCTCAATATGTCTGCTTTTATTGTGAATTATTAAAAAATATAATTGATCATAATTTGGCATCAATATTTTTAGAGGTTATTGGCAGTGTACTTAATGAAGTCATTATAACCTCATCACCTGGCTACATTTTGAAGGTTACCGAGAGAGCTAGCGCTTACTTGATTGAACTTCGCACATCATTATTATGCCCAGTACCATTTTGACATTCAAAACCCATTTGCAGCAGTGGCGGATCCAGCAATTTCTTACCGGGGGGGGGGGGGGGCACAAAATTGCATGGGGTGAAATATATGAAAAACGATAGAGCGAGGCGTCAGCGGCGAGGGAGCGGAGCGACCAAGCGGGAGTGGGTCTAGCCGTCTGGGAGGGGGTCAGAACCCCTCTAGAGTAGAAAGCATTTGCAATTATAGTACCACAATAGGCGCATTTTTAGGCACTTCCTGAAGTAATATGACCATAAAAAGCAGTGCATGATAACGTCTTTTTAAATCAAGAAATAGTTTAATATACAGTTCCGGGGGGGGGGGGGGGTTGACCCAATGACGATGCGAAAACTGTGTGGGTCTGGACACAATCATGATGGCGTTTTTCTACGCACATCACATTTTCACTTAGCAGCCCAAGGGGGGGGGGGGGTGGGTTAAACCCCTTAACCCCCCTCCCCCGTTGATCCGCCACTGCCAATAGTAGGGATTTCTTTCGTTTTACTTCTCATTATTCTTCTTTCCCCCCTTTTTTATCCTCCGTCTTTCCCACCTTCTTCCTTTTCCGCCTTTGCTCTCCTCTCTCTTCCCCTTTCTTTCTTTCCCCTCCTTTTTCTCCTTTCCCCTTTTCTCTCCTTTTCTCTCTTTTCTTTTCCCCCGAGTCCCCCCTTTTTTTTTACCGGGGGGGGGGGGGGGGCACGTGCCCCCTAGATCCGCTACTGTGCAGTATCGGTATATTATCTTCGATACATCCCATTACATGTATTTTATTTTCAGTTAAAAAATTACGATATTTTTTTGCTACTCTCCACCTAGGTGTTAAATGGGTACTCGGTAGGATGCGACCGTCATTGTTGGTCAAACAGCTTGTGAGCGTCATGTAACGCCCGGCTGGAATGCTCCCCAGGGAGTGGAGATTGTGCACACAGTGTGTGCGGGCAAGCACTGAATCCAATGACCGGGGTAATAGTATATCTGTAAAAGCGCTTAGAGATTTTGTATTAAGCGCTATATAATTTTTTTTTTTTTTTTTATATATTTGTTTACAGTTCTTTAATGTACAAATTTGTTTCCTCCTGAATCGGGGGTAAGAAGGCTTTAAAGGTTCATTTTCCTTATCCTGATCTAAAGATTACATTAACGATTTTGTTTCCCTTCACGATTTTATATAAATATATACTGTATAATTACTTTCGCAATTTTATTGTAACGAAGGTGACTATTGATGTGCGGTCTTCATACTTTTCAAAGAATACGTATACTCATTACTTGCTGGTGAGATACAGAGCAGAACAAATGATAATGTGTTTTTAAAATTAAAAAATGACGAAGGAAACCGAACAGAGCAGAAAGTAGATTGCTCTTTGACAATTTAGATAATTGCCTCTAACTTCATGATAAATTGATGGTTTAACGTTTGTTTACTGGTTTGAGAGAGCATGAAAATGATGATTGGAAATCGGCCAAAGCGGTTAATGGATTTGATCAGTGATCTGAAGTGTGAATACCAACTATGTCATTAAATTATTAATGAAAACACTTTATGCGTTATTCGGTCGTTGGATTAAGTTATCCCTGAAAACCATTCAGCCTAAAAGAAATAGGACTTAAAGATGTGCGTGGTTTACATTTGTTTGTCGAGCTGAGCTTTAATTATGTTACATTGTTAGAATGTTGAGGCAGAAGAATAGGCAGAAGAATAGTTTCATTATTTCATTATAGTTTTTCAGTAATACAATTATAATGTTTATTTCTTTTTAGTTAGTGGATATTCTATTTTCAAGGGATTGATTAAGCCTTGCAAGCAACTTTGTTATGTTAAGTAGACCCACCATTTAAAAAGGCACAACCCAGCCCCCCCCCCCCCCCCCCTTACCCATGTCAGTGTATTCACTCAGCTCGTTGTTACATGTAGGCCAATGCCTATAATGATTACTATGGCATTTTTCCATGCACTTTTTCACTTTGTTCATCAAACGATCGCTATAGTTTTTTCACGATGGTATACCAAGTCATCGCTTTTCCAAACTTTGTACACATCAAACTGTAAAACGGCACATCTGTAGGCCAATTTCTTATTATAAATAACCTTGCGTCGAAAGTTGTGGTTTTGACACTTCAAAAGGAAATCAATACTTTTCATGTTGAACTTTTTATCATGTCTGTACACCCACACGGCACACGAGGACAATAATAGATTTGGGGGCTGACCCTAAGCTCAGCAGACCAAGCAACGTATAAACAGGCTACCTAGCAACCTCCTTCTGTCGCCGCTTCATCGCACCGGAGACACAGCTTTCAGAATGTGTCCATGCACACACAGCGCAGACGACCGCTATATGCTAACATTGGTTTGTACGTGGAGTATACACCGTTTACTCCCGATGCACCTGTAACAGCCTTGGTAATTGGTTTCTTCATTGATTTTAGTTTTTTTTTTTTTTTTAGTTGTTGGAAAGTTGGAGAAGTGTGACACGCTATATTTTATTTTATTCGTGTAATCCGGAGAAGTAAGTTTCGCCATGTCTTCTAAAGGTACCGAGCAGGATATATATCACCTTGCTCATGCAGGATATGCACACAAATTGAATGAATATTTGTCGAAAACTGCGAATAAAGTAAACATCAACGAATTCTCAAAGGATGGAGCGACACCTCTGATTTTGAGCGTACAAGGGTCTCGAGTCGACCCGGCAGCTCAGGGGACGAGCCACATCGAGTGTTGTGAACTTCTCATAAGTCATGGGGCTAATCCTAATTTATCGGATAAATTAGGAAGGACTGCGCTTCATTGGGCCGTATTCTATAAGAAGTCAGAGTTTGTCAAAGTTTTATTGAAAGGAGAAGGTGATGTCACTAAAGAAGACAAAAAGGGACAGAATGTCATGCAGTTTGCAATAAGAATGAATGCTGCAAAGTGTTTACAACTTATTTGTGAAACTTTGAAAGATGCTTCAGCTGCAAAGGTAAGATTTATTTTACACATATTTACGTTTGAGTACAGTAATTTGTTCATACTTTTTCCATTTTCAAATGAAAATCTTGCTTTATTATGATCCTTCCATCCCATGTTGCTATTTTGATCATTCAGAAATTGATATTTTGAATATAAAATTATCAATTTACCTTTCAATACTTTTTAATTTCAATTTTCATCTTTACTTTTGTTGACAATGTTTGGTATTTAAAATGCTTAATGCCTGGTTGGTTTCTTGTTCTTCAATATAATCTTGATTCATGTTCTTTTCTTCTGGCTCCAAACAGACAATAGTTTTATAATTCAAACTTTGTGTGAGATAATTATGAAAACAAGATACAGGTTATGGCCCCGGTTATGGCACCTACAACAACAAATCACTTTATGTCTAGCACTTACCACTAATTTGAAAGTTCACAACAGATGAAAAAAAATCAAATATAAAATTTTAAACAGACTACTTTTGTTATGTTTACATTGCTTTACACTTTTTACATCTTCTTTCTCTATGTTTAACCAGGGAGAGTGTTTTCTAACACTCTCCCTGGTTTAACATAATCTATCCATCTATATATTACTGGGATGATTTTGTTTTATTTCAACCAAAATGTCAGATTTTATCAAAGCCAAGTGCATCTGTTGGTACCCCACTCATCCAAGCCACCAAACTAGGTCATCAGGAATGTTGTCAGATCTTACTACAGGCTGGAGCTAATATAGACATTCAGGATCAGGCCTACTTTGATAAGACAGCTCTCCTTATTGCTACTGAACTCAACAATGCAGACATTGTAGAAATGCTCATCAAGTAAGTAATCTAATTTTAATAGTAATTTATTTCTTATGTATTTATATAAATGGTTTATTGTTAAACTGATTCATTTGTTGTCAATGGTATATGAATAGTTATCATTGCAATAGAAGTAATGAATATAGACATTGTGAGAATGCTCAGTAATCAGATTTTTTAGACTAATGCAATTGTTATTTATGCCATATTTATTCATTTGAAGAATATCTTTCAACTAAAATTTTTTTTTTACATTATAGCCATCAAGTAAATGAGGCTCTACATGTACATGTACATATTTGAGAAACATCTGTGAAAGGAGACACAAAACATATGTCTTTATACTTAAAAAGTCTTGTACCAAAATGAGGCTCAATGAATTTAATTTCATTAAGTGTAAGAAGATCTGACTGATAAATTAATCAAGTGAATATAATCAAAAAAATATTTTCATCAACTTATGAGTGCAGTTTCTCGAGATTGTCCAATTTTCCAGTTTGTATTTATTAGCATCAAGTGCTTGATACTGAATATAAGTATATAGAAGTTGAATTTTTCCATTTTAAAGATATCGATAGAATTAATTTCTTTTTGTCTACAAAGTACTTGGTGACTATTATTATATTGATGATTAATTGAATTGTATGACCCAAAAACCTCTTTCATTTTATTTCAATCTTCAAGCTTTGATCAGATTAGTTTGTAATGGATTGGTTTGTATAGGATTCAATCAATATGTTAACTTACCGTACAGCTATTAGCTGCTGGATATTGATTCCAATCCATTAAATCAACTCAGGCATACACCACTCTCATGACTTATTTATTTGTCCAATTCTCTCCCATTTTTAATGAAAGATGCTAATCAAATTCCATAAAATATCATTAGCATATTTATTAAATGAAGTGACCCAGTAGCACCTTATTCATAAATTATTGATTATTATTCATATCTTGTTCACAGATTAGTTAGCATTATTTGCAAATATATGCAATTTAGATTACCTGTGTGTGGGTGTGGGTGGGTGTGTTTGTGTAAACCATTGATGTTAAAAACATGTTATTGGGCAGACTGCTCCTCTTACATGTACTTCAGTGTGTTGCCTGGTGAAGTTGAAGGAGAGTAATAAATTATATTTCATGATTTGTTGGGATGCTGCTATACCATGTAACACTTACAGGTGCATGTTTTTTCAATCATAATTTTGTTTTATATAGACACCGGTATATACTTGAAGAATATTTGTGATCAAATGCTGGAATTGTGTGTGTTCAGCACATTAACGGCATATATTCACAATACATGGAAAGAACTGCAAATAAAATAACAGTGCATCAAAATATGTCAGGACAGAAAAATGAAACAAACTTATTACTGAAATGCAAATAATTCACACGACTTCTCAATCATATATCTTCAATCCTACAGAATAGTAGTAAATTTCATATTTTGTGAGGAATGTATTATGTTCAGTGGTTATAATGTACCTCACATATTACCAGCACTTTACCAAGAGTCTGCATCTATCAGGCAAATAACCTCAAGGTGAAACTGATTTAATAAAACATTTTACATATATTCTGCATGATTAGCTAATTTGTAACTGATACTAAGAGTCTTTTCCTTTTATCTAGATCAAAAATGAAAAGGTTGATATTTGAAATGTATTCAGCATGAAATTGAGCTTTCCCAGCAGGATACCCACATACTCATCAGTCATCCTGTACAACTTCAGTGCAATAGACCATTCTCCTCTTGGTTATTCTAATTAATTGTCCATCTCATTACCCAAGGTTCAAGCCAACGTCCAATCTGCCTGTAACAGTGTATAATTTACTGTAAATTTTTAATGTAAATTTGCCTTACTATGATAATTACTGTAGAGCACAGTGGAAGTGTAGGCATCACTTTGTTGAATATTTGACCTTAAATTTTTAAATGACTAAATAAACGTGAATAGATGTGAACTTCAGTCACATCATTTTGTAGCTTTTGCTGAATTTAATAAGGAAATTTCTTTTCAAATTAATAAATGTTGGAATAATGTTTCTTGACTCTTTCAGACTGCAATTGTGATCATGATTGCTGTGATTAAAAAATCGATAAGTGAAAAATGAAATAGAGAGATACATGTACATACCAAGTATTATGAGGTGAAAAGCAGTCAACATCTCTCACATGTTCTACATTTAAAGTAGTTTGTCTGACCCAGTATCAGTGATTGCTATGTCAGACAACAATAGACAATATTCAAAGTTGGCAAGTGTATTATTTGCTTCAATTCAAAAATAAATTATCTTATCGTTTGTAAGAAAAAGGACTTTTTGTAATATCCACTGTAAATATTTCCTTTCAATATTTTTTTTTTGGGGGGGGGGGGATGGCCAGGGATATACCTGTGTATAAAAATTGATTGATTTCAAGTTGTAAATGAATGATCCCAATCCTACCCTGAATATTTTAATTGGAATATTGGATGTCCATTTACAATTAAATCCAATTCTTGGCCACAAAATTAGACCAATTGCCTTCACTTCTGCATACATAGGTAGGTTGCTTGACTTCTATAGTATAATTAGGAGGATTAATGAGTGAAAGTAAACAGACAACCAGAATCAAGGATTTCCGTAATTAGTGATCTTATGCAAACATTATCTGTTAATTGATGTTGAGAAATTATTTTAATGAGATACATGTATTGGTTTTGTTATATTGCAGATATGATGCCAATATCCAAGCTGAAGATTCGCAGGGAAACACTTGCCTGCACCTGTCCTGTTCCCTTACCAACCCCAGATGTCTGGAGCTAATCCTGGAGGGGTGTAAGAAGGCTACCGACCTGGTAGGAAAGAGGAACAAGGCGGGGCTGACACCACTCATGATAGCTTGTCAGCAAGGTCTGGAGAAACATGTGGAATTTCTTCTCAAATATGTGAGTAGATTTTGATTACTTGAGTTAGTATAGTTAAGCAAGATTACATGTACATGATGCATATAAGTAAATTCATTGGAAAACATGAAAACTAGAAGAACAAGTTCAAGCATATGCATCCATAATTCATACATAATATAATTCCCAGGAAGCATTACATTTATAAAGTACATGTATGTTCTTCGAACCTGAATGTTCATGTGCAATTGCAATTTCAATACTTATAAGTAACCCAATACTTGTAAGTCTATGGCCATGAAATGAAGCCACAAAGTATGAATGTTGGGCAAGAAGATAGTTCTGTAAAGAAAGAGATTAGAAATTGTGATATAGAAAGAAAGAAACACACACCCAAACAAAATGTGTAATTTCATATTAATAATAATAATAATAATAATCCGGTTTTTTATATAGCGCTCAATACACTGATCCAACGGAGCACTTAATAAACAGTTATTTACAACTGCAGGTATATATGCAGATTCTGATCTTGTGATGACGATATGGTGCATTCAAAATAGGGTATAAAAATTAAATGCAGCACAAATAAAACAGATATTGTTTTTAACACTACATGTACAGTAGGCTTCACAACTGAAGGTTATTCTACTCATATTCATCAGTAATTTACACAAGGACTTAAATGGCTTTAAAACAACCTTGAGGGATTCGTCGAACGCAAGAGTTTATTTCTGTGGCATGATTGAATGCAGTAATTACCTGAGGTCCATTTGCTCCAGAAACGATTATAAAATTGATGGAGCCTTTGTGTGGTGGCCTTTTATTTGTTAACTGTCAAATCAACCATAGTCCTTTTTGTCATTTACTCGTATCCCTGACATTGTGTAATGACCAAAATGACTTAAAAACACAATGAATTGGTTTGATAATGATTAATGTAACATATTTTGTTACAAAATGGTCACTGACATGCATGTATTGTTATCTGTAATTGATAGTGAAGCTAAAGTGGCATTATAATCAATATCAGGCCTTTTCAAATTATTAATTGAAACTTATTACAGGTGTCATAATTCTGTTCACACTTTGAAATGTCATCTCCTTTAATATGAGAGATAAACCATGCTGAAGATGATAATAATAATATAAGCCAGTGTGCCCTGTCACTGCCCTAGTTACATATGACCACAGAGTTCTAGTTTCATATGACCACAGTCATTTACTTTCATACTAATGTATTACCATACTGAATTTAGAATATTTATGGATCCTTGTTTTTCATTTGTCAATTGAACTAGTTTATTGTAATGAATTATATATTATTGACAATTTCATTTACCACTACAAATTCTCTTGGAATTAGCACTAATATAAAGGTAACTTTTAAGTTGTTTTGTTAATTATTGTAACACACACAATAATCAAATAAATAGCAGAGATAAACTTCCTGATAAAGTATTTAAATTCATACAATTACAGTTACAATTGGGAACTATTCTAGAAGAAGATAGGATTCAATAAAAAGTTAACAGGATTATAAAAGACTAATTTACTGAGAACAATTAGTTTTACCTATCCATTGTGTGTTTTCAATATAGCTCTGTATCATTCAAATTTGGCGTGAAGTATTGAATAGAACAGAGAAAAGTGAAAAAAGAAGGGGGAACAAACCCAAACAAAACAACAAAAAACAAAGAAAGAGAACTTAATGTATTGAAACGGTGTGTTGATGATCCACGTTTGATGCACACAAAAAAAATCATTAAGTACTCACAAATATTAAATGAATGAAATCACAATAGAATACAGCAGGGATAAAAATACCTTTTAGTTGATTTTCTAATATGCAGAACGAGAAGTTTTGCAGCTATGAAGAGGGTTGCTGTTCCAGTTTTTTGTGCAGCTATTATAAAACTTTTTTCTGTTCAGTATAGTCTGGATGTGCAAATAACGAATTTACAATGTTTTTTTTTACAAACAAAGATGAGTTGATGTTGTTTATAACTATGAATTCAATTTATATTGATTGTGATTGACCGTAAATAGGAATCACCAGTTGGAGAACAGGATGAGCAAGGCAAGACTGCTCTACACTATGCTACCGAGAAAGGTCTAAGGTCATCGGCAGAGCTCCTTCTAGCAGCAGACTCTGGTCTTCCATGGACTCAGGACTCAGAAGGCCGTACACCCCTTCATCTGGCTGTCATAGAGGGCAAGAAGAACCTTGTGGAGTTCTTGATTGGAAAGAGTGGTGTGAATGCACAGGATAATCAGGGGCATACTCCCATTCATTGGGCTGTGGGTAAGAACATCTACCTTATTCAGAGAGGCATCATTTGTAATTAATGCAATCACTTCTCACATGCCATTAGTGTAAATGTTGATAATTAAAATGATTTAAGTAATATATTAACATCAGTGCAAATATCTGTTTTATGCAATTGTATGTTGTTGTTGGTTTTGTTTTTGTTTTGTTCTGATTACACTACATGTACATGTACCTGTTATTTCTAATATATGTATAAATCCATGTTTTGGGCATCGTCTTCACAAAGGTGTTCAGTTTGGACTTAATCGGTATACGTTTGATTTTATTGTGCCAGCAAATATGTTAATAGTGACAAACTTAAATCTAGGGAATTGAAACATTTATTCAAGTATTTTCATTTGGTGTGATTCATGATTTGTAACATTCAGTTACTGCAAATTGGGTTGTATTTCCAAGCTAGCAGGAATAAAGGGAAGCAAAAATGCTCATTTGATAAAAAATAATAAGAGTAATCCGCTGAAGGAATTAGAAGAGAAAGCGTACGTGGTTCATTTACAATAGACCCTAGATTGATGGTTGATTTCACTGGATCAATATTTGTGATTCCAATTATGATTATTAACCCCATTAGAGAGTAGGTCTTCTGTGATTGTTCAGTGGCAATAATGAGTCAACACTACATAGTCCTAGAGTGAAAGGGTGCCCTCGGTGTGTGTACACAACAATGGGAGCATCACCAATGCTAGGCAAATGCAGTACTGTTCATTGATTTGCAAAATTGATGAAGATGAAAAGTCATTTGATATCAGGATGATAAAATGTTTGAATGACATGTTTAGAGAATAATGTTAAGTATCTCTCACAATATTCATTTAAATTAAAGAGATATCTTGTTTGAAAGTTGCATGTTACATTTATTGTTACAATTACATAAAGATGATTCCAGCGTCATCTTTAATTTTCACAAATTATCCATTGTGTCATGTTTCTTCAAATAAAAGAATGAAGGATAAATCGTACCGTATAGTTAAAAGTACTAGTGACATAATAACTACCAGTTAATGCCCAAACTATTTTTTATATCATGTGTCTGGCTGTGCTGATATGAATATAATTCTTTCCTATATGTCAGATAATTGATCTTAGGTCATTGCATACAGCATTGGATCCTGTATTAAGGCCAGGGTATAAGAGAATTCAGATGACAAGGGGTTTCATTATAACAAAACATGCTTTGTCTATACAGAGAAGAATCATCCATTGAATATTGGGATCTTCCTCTTTTTGATATTGCTACGCTGCCCTATCAATAACTGACAATGATTTATTGAGTAGAGAGACAAGTCCTCTGTAATTAAGTGGAATACATTGTAGATAGATCAGGCTTATAGTGTAATGTCAAAGAAACATATGATTGATCATGAAATAAGAACATTCTCAATCATTATCAGACAGGGGAATTAGGTGTCTAGAACACTCAAGGATATATCATCTCTCTGGAGCTAGAAGGGCTTTAACTCTGTATTCTAATAGCTATACAAGTTAATGCCCTTCTGGCTCCAAACAGACGATATTATCTCATACTCTCTGCTTTCAATTAGTACTGAATACTATATAGAGAGAATCTTTTTGCCCTCATATAATCAATATTGATTTTTAATTTTGATAGGTCAGTGGAATATCTAGGTTTTTCATGCCAGAGGGTGGGAGAGGGGTGGGGGGTGGATGGGAGGGGGTTACAAGTCTGAAAAATCTCTGACAAACGAAAAACATTCAAAAAAATAAAATGTTATAACATTTTGCTTTTGCAGGAGCACACATACACCCTTTTGGATCTGCAACTGTAAATATAATGTTCCAATCGCCCATGCTTTGTGTCTAAGAAAAATACATATTTCAATTCGTGAACGCAAAGTAATGGACACTCGGTTATCCTCTTGATGTTGAATTCTATTTCTATCTTTCTAATTTAGTTTGTGGTGTCCATGACCTCATTGATACCCTGGTCGATCATGGAGCCGATCCATCCCTGATCGATGACCACGGTGCTAGCCCCATACATTATGCTGCTCAGATGTGCGGTGATCCAGCCGTGTCAGAGATTGGTATTCTATGTCTTAAGGTATGGGCCATTCTTTGGTTGCCTTTAATAGTATGAAGCACATGATCATGAATTCTTGAAATTATAAATTTGAAACAATGAAGAATAAGGAGATAGATGTTATTTTATAAGAGATCTGTTCATATACCACAAATTGATCTCAACTCTTCACTTTCTACAGGACAAACATATCAAGGTAAAAGAAGGCATCGGCCCTGAAATTGTTGTTCAAATTCTTCTGATAAATCATAAGATTCTGTATTTCAGAAGCCATGAGATATATATATATAAATATCTGTTGTTCTTTCTTTCTTTATAATTGTTTGTTTGTTTTTGTTGATGAAATTTTTTGATTGAATACATATGCTTCTCTAGGACTTCCTTGCCAATTTCAATATAAAGGTTAAAGCTCATATACATGTAAACAATGGATTCAGATTTTAATTTACATCATTTGATTTGATATTCTTTCATTAAAGGCCTTAATCAAGCGAGGGGCCAAGGTGAATGCCATAGATACGGGTCATAAGACCCCTCTCCTATGGGCATCTAGTGCAGGGAGTAGTGAGGCATGTAAGCTACTCAAGGAAGCAGGAGCTGATGTTACATTGGCTGATCTAGATGGACTTACAGGTATGATATGGAGCCTATATTGGATCATTCTATTTTGTGACGAGACACAAAAAAGAAAAATTTCTAACTCAATTGAATACAAAATTAAAACTTTGGAATATTCCTCATTTATTGAAACCGCAAAGAAAAACAAAATTTACTTACTGTCATTGTCATAGTTAGTAATTTCATTATATTAGTGCTAATTCCAAGAAGAGAGTTTGTGGTGCATGGTAAAATGAAATTGTCAATAATATAGAATTCATTACAATAAAGTAGTTCAATCATCTGACATGTGTGGGACATTTATGTGAATTCTGTTTTCAAAGAAGAAATATATTTAAATAAATGTTCCTTTTCCCAAACTGCATATATAAGTATTTAAGGAAAAAAAAGAGTAATATATGATCCAAACGTACATTTGATGAAAAAATGAATATTAATATGCAAATTGTTTATATTGTAATTTCAGCTCTTCACTGTGCAGTGACGTGTGACCATCCAACCTGTGTAGAGACACTCCTTAAAGAATGTGATGCAGTTGTAGACACACCAGATAAGAATGGCTGCACACCCCTCTTCTATGCAGCTTCCATGGACCATGTTGGTAATGTCCAAACATTACTGGAGAGCGGGGCTTCCCCTAACTACACTGATAATAAGGGAAAGAGGTAAGCTGGTAACTTTTCATGTCTTATCTGTGGTGTGCTCAAAGAATTATACTGAATTATAAAATAGCTCTAAGAGCTGACCGGTTAATGTAAAACCAGTCACTCAATTTGTTTGGAAAGGTTTTCAAACTGTTCCTATTCATGTTAATTATGTGAATCATATGTATATCTTTTTCAAATCCTTGCTTCATACCATTTTCCCTCTTGATCTGTCATCCTCCTCTTCCTTCTCTTCCTCCTCCTCCTCTTCCTCTTCTCCTCCCCTTCTCCCTTCTCCTCCCATTTTATCTCTTTCTCTTTAATATTCCATCTCTTCCTCTTGTCTTTTTCATTCTCTCTTTATTTCATTATCCCTTTAATAAATACTCTTCTTTTTTAAATACTTTTCTCCTGTGTCTTTCTCTCTTTCTACTTCATGCTTGATGCATACCTTTAACCCCTTTCTCTCAGATATCTATCAGCTTCCTGCCCCACTCCTGTAACAGTACCGATATAAATAACCATTTCTCCTTTTGCTTTTGCAGCCCAATGCACTGTGCTGCAGGCTCTGCCTCTCTGGATGCTATACGGCTCCTACAGGAGCATAATGGCTCCATGAACCAAGCTGGAGATGAAGGAGAAACTCCCTTTCATGAGGCCATTCAAAAGGGGGATCTGGGTAAGTTAATCTTCACTTCTTCCTTGACATCAATTCAACCTCAAGGCATTGATGGAGACATTCATCATTTCATCCATACAGGTGTAAAATGCATAAAACCTAGTATCGTTGGCTGACTGTTGGGAAAAAATGTAAACTCTTTGTAAATAGTGCTGAATGTTAATGCCCTTCTGGCTCTCAACAGTACAAGTTTTTAAATTCTTATTTTTTTTGGTTATGCAGTAGATGAGATATAAAAAAATTAAGATAATTTGTATTTGTAAACAATTTGTCAGTCTTGTATTTTTGCAATAAGATACTCGTTAGATATTCTTTTTGAGCAGCTATCAAGTTATATTATTTGATTGTCATGATTGCAAATTTTGTTCATAATAATCACACAATAGGTCATTTATGTTGGGTGCAAACAACAGTACAAATAAGTTCCGCATTAATTTCCTTTTTTGTTTGTTTCTCTAGACATGATCAAGTTCATGATTGAGAAAGGATGCAAGCCAGATACTCCTGATAAGAATGGTCGTACACCACTCCACATAGCAGCAGGGAATGCCAATGTGGACTTGTGTAGATACCTGGTGGAGCTGAAAGCAAACATTGATGCTGGATACAGAAGTGATAATGTTAGTGTAAATAATCATAACAATTAATCTGTTATAGGATGATGGATATGATCCACAAACATTCCTTATCAAGACACAATTTTTTAATAATTTTTTTTGTTTTTGTTTTTGTTTGTTGGGGGGGGGCAAGGATTTTATTCATTGCTGTTGAGTCTTGTGCATAGTCTCGTAAAGATTTTGAGCCACTTTTTTCAATTTCTGGTACTTAAGCAATTATAATAATAATAATAATGATAATAATAAAAACAGTGCTTATATTAAAAGCGCTAATTACCACCGAAGTCTCTAAGTTCTATAACAAACAAAATACAATGATAAACAATTACATATTAAACAAAACAAAAAGAAAATGCAAATAAACCTACAAGTGCATATGTATTTACTTTTGCTGATTAACAAACTTCAATTTCCATAAAAGATATACATGTACTTTATTTTTTCTATCAGTGTAGGTATATGACTGCAGTCAGAAATTGTGCTAATTTTTCTTCTCTTATATTATTATTTTTGCAGGGCTTAAGAATGACTGCCCTAGACTGTGCCTGGGACAGCGGTGCAGTGTCCTGTATGGACTACCTTGCATCCATCGGAGCAAAGAGAGGTAGAGAGCTTGATAATAAAAAGGCCATTAAACCAACCAGCAACTCACTGCATCCTACACAGCCTAGCAATAAGACCAAACAGGACAAGTCCAGCGTTAGTGGACCAAAGACTGTGAATCGACCCACCAGCAGAGATGAGAAACCAGGCAAAGAGGGCGCTAGAGACCGGACAGGAGGTGATAGTTTGACGTCTCCAAGGAACGAGTCGTCCATCATTGAGAAGAGTCCATACATGAAGGCTCCTCATTCTAGCTATGATCATGCAGAGAAGAGGAATGAAGTAGAACAAAGAGAAGCAGAAGAGAGGAAGAGTCTGAGGTCCACATCAGTGGAAAAGAAAATGGTTGATTGGGAGAGCTACATCAAAGGTATGCCAAATCATCAGGTTTTGTTCTGGTGTACATTTAAGATCCTGGCAAGTGTGTGTCATTCTTTCTGTTTTATCATTATTATTATCATTTATAGGATGTACTTGACAAAAGTTGACATAAGAATATAAAACACTAATGGTTTCTTTTTGTATACACAATGTAGGCTGCAATTTCATGTTTATTCAGTCTTTTTATAAAGACTCAATCGTGATTAAGTCAGTGTTAATGAGGCCTTTTCTTAGACAGATTTATTAGAAGGTTTGTGTAGCTCACGTCAAAGAGAGATTACACAAGTTTTATTTGTATATAGCATACATCTATTTTATATGTTTGATTCTACTGATAAGTAAATGGATCCTCTTTGTACTATGTGCTATGTGAATGTTTACTCATTTTTTATTATTCTCCTATCAGAACATGTCAACTTTTTGGATGACTTGCTGGAAGTGAAACACGAGAGGCTTAAAACCGTTCAATCTCATGCCATAGAGGAGAAGGAATCTCTTGTGAAGAAACTAGAAGAGATCAGAGAAGAGATGGAGAAGAGGGTGGAGAAGAAAAATTCAGAAGCTGAGAAGCTTAGGGTAAGTCTGGATTGTTTGATTATGAGAAGAATAATGTTTGGTCATTTTCATAAAATTACGTTTTGATTTTATTGTATAAAATAAATGTAATGTCCAAGTATGTATAATCATTTTTATACCCTCTGGCATCTGAAAATAGCAAACTAGTTTGATATTTCATTTTACATGCTTTGTATTAATGTTATTATATTCAGACAGAGAGGCTGAGCAGAGTTACGATGTCTCTTTCTCTGGATCACAATGCCATGAGATGGCTAAGGAGAGGAAGCTAATATTGATCATCTAACCATTTTATAGATAAATGCTGTTCAAGATTTGTTAGACCTTACATTTTCAGGTTTAATAAGCCAGTATTTGTACTACATATGCAATAAAAGATAATATCAAGGTTGACCAGACCTGGCTCTTGGACCTAGCGACTCCGCAATATCAGTTCCATCAACATTTTTGTTTCTATAACAGGAAGAGAAGAGAGAACAGCATGCAGAGGAGAAGAGACTTATGGATGAACGATGGAAGAAAATACAACAACATTATTCAGTAAGTACGCTTTAATTTGCATCTGTCACTGTAATATTTTGAATGAGAAATTTTCATTACAAGAACATTTTATATTGATTTGGTAACCTATATAGAGAGGATGCAAAGAAAGGAGAAGGAATCAACATTATTTTCTTTTAGTGAAATTTGGTGACTCCGTAATTATATTTAAGAAATAAAACTACACTTTTGTTACATGTAAACTTATTATCAGAATCTACATGTGTTATTTGCATGGCTACACAAATCTACAAGTTGATAGGAGTTTTTGAGGGTGTTTGTTTTAGTTTCGATGAACTACCAGCTGATTGATATGTCATATGGTATACTTTGCATTGTACAAAATTAGTCATTAGTTATTCTCTATTACAGAACAAAAACAAAAACTGTGGAAAATCAATAGGGAGGAACAAAGTATTCTATTTGTATTTTGTACAGTACTAGTTAATCAGAGCCTAAAAATATATATCACAGTGAAAAATTAACATTAAATTTAAAATAGCAGTTGTAAGTATCCCAGCATTATAGTTTATGTACATTGTCACTGAAAAACAATTTTCTTCAATGTTTCTCAGTCCTAATTCAATGTGGTATATGTTTCTCCCTAGAACATTGATAACAAAGTGGGTCATCAAATGACGATCCATCGCCAAGCCACACAGTCAATGGACAGTAAAATGGCTAAGATAGAGCAGAAGAGAGTAAGGAGAGAAAAGACTGATATGGAATTAGCCCAAAGGAGATCACGTTCCAGGAATTCTAACCCTGAAGAGTATGTATACAGTCACACTCTTCTCTAATATATATGAAAAATGATCATCTATTAAACAGAAAACATTGATTGGTTGTGGTAATCATAGCATGCAGTTTAGGCTTCCACGAACCTTAAAATGTAATAGGGAAGCTGTTATCCAATCCTGTGGACTCCCTGTGTGAAAAATAACTAGGCTTGAAAAAGTCCACAAGAGTGGATGATAGCTTGACTACTAAATGTGAAGGTTGTTAGAAGCCTAATTAAACCAAATGTTATGATCATCAATGTTTAGGTAAATATTTTTAACAAATCAAGTAACCAAGTAAAACTATTCATTCTCTTTTGAATTTTCACATAGCTACGTATATAATAAACATTTGTAGCATTGTAAAACAGAACTTATACCATGCCTTCTCTGCAGCAAGACCTTAAAGTCAACTATTTTGTAGCATTCCAACTTGCATGACTGCAGAACCCTCATGAAATTTGCAAAGGTTTCTGGTTTTTCAGTAAGTATGTTTCAGTTGAAGATATAATATGTGTTATTTATTCACTTTCAGATAAAGATACAATATTTATTGGCTATTGATTCATTCAACTGCTTCTATTTTTTCCAGTAATTTAAGAATTCAGAAGCATGTGGACTGGTTAAAACAAAAGAACAAGGACTACTTTGAGAAGAAGAATGCTGTAAAAGTACAAGGACACATCAAAGTTGACAGTGCAGTTCTCAATGCTCACCTCAAAAGTAAGAATATGAAAGTTTATTTTCTGTAAAGAGTAAATTACAACTTAAGGTAATTAAGATCAGTCTTTATACCATTTTAAAGATTCCATTACCTGTTTTCATGATAAAGTAGAGAGCTATGAAAGGAGAGTAGAAATACACAGATTTTATGTGAAGAGAAAGAGAAACAGATTAGTTAGTACACAAAAATCTTGGAGATAGACATACGGTACTGGAAAGTCTGATCTTGCACCCATCAGAGTAACCTGCGAAAATGAAGAGAAAGCTATAATCACACATTGTTTTCTTATATTTTTAACTGTTGCCATGTCATTTTTTTAAAAACTATTTTGTCATATATTCAAATGATTGAAGACATGGAATAGCTGAATCTGTTATGGAATAAAAATTAAATTAGCTTTTCAAAAATTAAATCATAATTCTACAGGAACCTCCAGTCCTAAGTGTCCCAAGTCTCCAGTGCCATCTCGAGTAGATCATTCTCATAGGAGAAGGTCCCCTTCACCACCTCATGATCGCTTACAGTATCAACGTCAGGAGCTGGAGAAGCAGAAAAGACTACTGCAGGAGCATCGAGCCAAGCAGAGACCAAGAACTGTCTCTAGTAGGAGGAGTGCATCCTCACCATCGTCGACCAAACAGTCTTCATCATCACCTCATCCTCCTACAAGCTCCTCAAAGGGACCAAGGAGGCAGGATGGAGGCGGTGCTGAAGGGAAAGAGAGCAGGAAGCCTTCCGGTCCTGATGCAATAGGTCCAACCAGTCATCACCTAGCCCAACTCAGGCGTAGCCATGGAGACGGCCTCAACAAAAAGCTCTGGCCAAAGTCATGGGAACTTCATGATAAAAGGGGCAAGCCAAACGATGACGCAGAAGAGATATTCGATCTCAAAAGTGAGTACCACTGATTTCCTTCTTTATTTTCATTTCAGCAATTCAAGTGGATTTGAAAGAGGGTCATGAAACAAACAAAAAATGTTCTGATGATGTATTTCCCCTCTCATGATTAGAATGAAATTGATGTAATTATTTTGTTTTTGATATTGTTTGTAGAACACTTCTCACCCAGATGGGATGGACAGCTAAGACCCAGACATCTCCTCCAATTCAGATCAGTAGGGGCCTCCAGACAAGAAGGGCAGACAGAAGCATGATCAAAAGAGATAGAGAAAAGACAATCAATCAAACAGTAATGGCAGCAAAGAGAAACATAAAATGTTGTACATCCCGACATCTTAGCACAAGCAAGATAACACTGTTTTGCAGCTTTTTGATTAAAGGAAAAAAATCACTATGGATACCATCAAGTGCACTGGCCAGCAACCTTCATCCCCACCCACAGAGAGAAGGGGGGTGTGTGTTCATGCATTCACACCCACCAGGAGTAGATCCAGAGGAGCCATAAACATTCAGTCAGAAATTTAATCAAAATTTCAATAAAACTTGAGCCCTTTATCTGCACCCCCAGGATCCAGGATTTCAAAATTCAGTAGAAGAAAACAAAAGAAGATATAACTGAATTATGAGCTAGATTTAACCCATCAAAAATATCAAGTGAAAAATATAGCCTGTTATAACTTATGATGTGGATGAAACTCTGTTGCCCAAAACTTAATTCATTTTCTTTCTTTTAGTCTGGTTTATCTATGTATCCTTTAATCAGTGTTAAATAGTATTACATGCCAAATTTATCCTGCTTCAGACTTATTACACCTTGCCTTTTTTTTTATACAATCTTGATATATAACTATGCTTTATTTATCTTTTTTGTATGATTTTGCATAGAGTCATTAATGCAACTGATATACACCTTCTAGGAAAATTGTTTATATGTACATTTAATTCACTATTTTTGGATTTTGCATTAATCAGTATTGGATTCGATATTTTCTAGATACATGCCTCAAGTCAGAGAAAATTTGTTTTTCAAACTCAGCAAGACTCTTTTTTTTTTATGTCAAAAGTTTATATATCTTGGCTGAATTATGTTCACCTGAAATCAGGTTCAATGTATTAGAACCTTGTGCCTAGCAATTTAGTATTATACATGCTGAATGTAATCTCTGTAAATGAAAGTTACGTTTAAAATACTCTATGAAAAGTAGTGTTTTATTATCTATGATATATCATAGCCTTTGTTTACTTTAATTTAGCTCTGTGTATTATTTATTAAATTTCAAGTGTCTGGTGAATGCCACAACACATACCATTTACAAAATATTATTTTACATTTATTGGGACTGCTTTAAGGGTGAACAATTTTATAAAAAGTATATGACAAGGCTGTTATTTCTACCCAAATTATCCACCCACTTTCTGGTTGAAAAGTTGAGTTATCTTTTACTCTCTTAAATTATTTTTAAAATATTTTTTTAATGTATTCTTTGTTTATATATTACTTCTTGTCATAAAGTGAGTCTACTATTATGTGAATAAATTAATTCATGATTAAGACACATAACCAATGTATTATTAATTCCGTCCCACCTTTTGGTATTGTTTATATGTTTACTGCAACACAGCATAATGCTGTGTATATAGCCGGTATATCATACAAATGACAATCATGTACATGTAATTTGTATAGTGGACAAATATATTTAATTTTAATTTATTTTTGAGGCTGATTTGCAATGTAGCAATACAACTAAAAACCTTGAACCTGGGTATGTACAGGTATATAATACATAATTATGAGCTTTCTCTTTGTTGATATAAATTTGCATACATGAGCTATAGTATTCTTCACTAATGTCATGTTTTTAGTCTCATTGTGTTTGAATTGTCATTAGACTTTAAGAAAGAGAAATATATATATTTATAGGGGAGAAGGAGCAAGAGAGGGAGGGAGGGAGGGAGGGAGGGAGGGAGAGGGGGAGGGAAGGAGGGAGGGAGGAAGAGAGGGAGGGAGAGGGAGGGAGAGAGAGGGAGAGAGAGAGAGAGAGAGAGAGGGAGAGAGCGAGCATATACACATCCACACCATACCTCTCAACAGTACTACTATACACCTGAGGTGGACTGTACAGAATAGGAAGAAGAATAGAGAGAGAGAGGTGAAGGGGAGGAACACACAAGAGATGGGAAGAAGAAGGAGAAGAAACACAAGGGTATGATAATGATATGTTGCAGTTTGGCGCAATGTACAATCAGATCGATCGTATGTTCTACCGCTAATCTTTGTGTTATGTCAGGAGGAAGAGAGGGATAGATATTATGAAGCAGAAAGATATAGGTAGTGGAAGGAAACATTTCACTTCACATCAAAAAAGAAAACGCAGACAAATAATTGATCCAGTAAAGAAATTAAAAATGTATTTGTTTACTCTTCACCTTTACATACTGCTGCTACCATATTTTTCAGATAATACAACATCATGCTTAAAGAAGAAAAAAAAAAGGAAATTTCTCCACAATACCAATGTGAAATAGTCATGCATTTGCGGACATAGTCCACACAAAAGATAAATTATCTAATTATTCTAAAAGGAAACAATTCAATACACAGCTTAGAGTGAAATATTTCACTTTTCATCCACCCAAACCTTGAAGTTTGAATATGATCTACTTCTCCATGACAGCTCTAGAAGAGTTATGTATAATGTATCAGCGCTCAATAGAACTGGTTGTCAATGTCATTGCGTAACTTCTATCTATATATTATTCCTATCCCATATGGAACTATTATAATAGGGGATAGCATAGATGTATACATACATACATGTATATAATGATATACAAGTTTATCACAGCTTAGCTGCTTTACAGAAGTTTTCTACATGCTAAAGTTTTGAGTGTAAATTAAAGGACATCAAAATAAAGGAAAGAAAATACTGATATAAAGAATCAAAAGAAACAAGAGACAATCCTTCCTCTGCATGTATAGTGTGTACATCTAAATAAATTCTTCAGGAACTGTCATTGTAACGTAATAGACCCAACCTCACCAGAAATAGATCCCAAATCAATTGAAACCAAATACGATAAAAACTTCACTATATTGAAGATTATCAGTACCAATGCAAATGTAATTTTTCTATCTTAATGTAAATGTATGTACAGCTGGGCTCATTTTTAAGTGCACCGAAGTGACACGGACATTTGATCTACATGTATGTTGTATAAAATATCAATGGGGCTTTAATGATGAGCATATAGTATAGTTCACTCATAAATAACAGTTATTTGGCACTTTTAGCAGACTACCATGACATGCCAAAGATGCTGAAGCATGTACATTAAAACAAAAGAACAAATGAAATGTTTTTAAACCAATAATATTTGTAAATTTTTCATTTACATGAATACATGAAGAAAAAAACAATTTCACTTAGGAGAAATAAATCCCTCCAGAGTCCTTGAAATACTAGATTTAAGTATAATTTTGAATATCAAAAGAAAAATTGCTGAATCAAATTCATGTCAGTATGTATCATAGAAATACCTGTGTCAGAGGTAAAGACTATCATGACACTTTCAACATCAATACGTGCAATTTTATAACCATAGGCAGTTTCACATTCATTTCTTATAAATTGCATTCACAAGTTATGATCAGTCATTTTCCCCCAATCTTCAAATCCTTCATCAGACCTGAAAATAATATTGCAGTGACAATGAAAAAAGCTCTACATCTTCCTTTTCCAATGTGCAGTACTTTCTTCGCATGAGATTATAGGGAAGATAAACTTGAAATTGAGACAAAATATTTGAAATTATATAATATTCCCTCCCGTCTTTCACCCTTTCTCACATTCATAATACAGTAACCACTATTTCCGTTCACAATTAGCAGGGCATTCTCTCAATGTAAGAGGTCACAAGCTGACAATGAAATCCGTTGAGGATTACATTATCACACAAAGCAAAGTGTTGATATCTTCTGCTTAAGCATTGTCTATGTATTCTGTGAAGTCAAGTTTGAGTTCTGGTTATGATGAAAAACACAATCCTCAAAGAATCCAATCAAATTCAAACTGAATCTTAAGACTATCAAATTAACTTTAACTACCAAATAAAGTTATTGTTATTTGTTGATTAATATTAAGAAAAATATAAAATGCTGAGTAATTATCAAATAAATATGAGGAAATGGAGATGTTGATCATGACCATGAGAATACATGTAGTCCCATATATGCATAAACAGGTTTGTAATTGTCAGTGACTATGATTTCTAACTGGGCAATCCAATAACATATGCATTGCATGATCATTAATTGTGATTTCAAGTCAGTTTCTCTTGAAGTGCAGTTCCATTGCCAGAACTCAAAGATCACTTTGACTTTATACTAGCAGTTTCTACAATAAAATACATAGTGCATTCCACCGGGGTAATAGTATATTTGTAAAGCGCTTAGAGACATTTGTAATAAGCGCTATATAAAAATTAAATATTATTATTGTTATTATTATTTCAACATACCAATGAGTTGTAATCTCTCACAGCCAGTTACAGGTATCCATGTACAGACAAGCCACATGTACAATATCATACCCAAGTCTTATGCAGCCAAATATGTTTTTGGTTCAGTGACCAGAGCAATGGACTTAAACCCAGGTTAACCTAGATGCAAGATCAATGAAGGCCCATTTCCCCCTGGGCCAAGTGTAAATCCCAAATTACTCAGTCCCTCAGACAGGACTTGTAACTATAGATCTTCTGAAGCTTTCTTCTTAGCACTTGGATATTAAAAGTACACAATTGCTTAAACAAACAATTCCTTGCTACTACAATGTCTGAAAGGGCATTTATCAAGCTGTTCTACATACATTGGAAATTCAAAATGACATCAAATGCAGATTTCAGAATATTTGTTACTCATACATGTAAGTCCCATTGAAAATAAAATCATCTCCATTCCAATTTATTTGCTCTGCTTGTTTAGTCCATGCTATGAAAGCATTAACTCTCTTTTAGCATCAGCATGAGAGATCTTCATGTATGCCATACAGTGATTCAATGTAATGAGTCCATGCATTCACTCATTTGTATCTAACGATCATCTCCTAATTACAAACCAAGGAAACTTCATAGATAATGAAGAAATCATCTGCACATCTTGGCTTGTAGTACCCACTTGTTCTTGTTCAATAATCCTGTTTGGATTCAGCTCCAATTGTCAACAAACGGTTCTGTCCCCAGCATTCATGCCTGACTACAAACCACCTCAAGCAGAAACAAACCTGATCACAGCATTCTTTGACATTCTTTGAGAGTAAATCATCGAAAAGAATGAAACCAACAGGAAAATAAAGGTCCAATATGCAATTGTTATTGTCTATGTTTGTGTCTCATCCATCGTCTACTTCATCTTGCCAGGCCACTGCTGTTCTTTACCGGTAAGGGGTACATAGACCACGCCCATGAGGGTCTTCTTAGTGACCTGTCCTTCTGGTGTCTTGTCGTACTGCTCTAGATTCTGAGCCGCTCCCTGCGGTCCTACAGGGATGATGAGACGCCCACCAGGCTTCAGCTGCTCGATGAGCTATTTACAGGATGACACACAACAGCCAAGATTCAGTCAAATTATAAGAAGATTGTTTCTGAAATATCAAACATGGTTGGATTTTTCTACTTGCAAATTCTGCACAGTTTAACTCTATATCATAAATATTAATAGTATAGAAGATAATAACTATCCAAACAAAAATAGTAGGTTTATTTTGGTAAAGCACCACATTCCCATAAATCAGCCTACTTTGGTTGAGAGAGAAAAATCTTTGAGGACAAGTTATCTACGGTGCAAAACATACCTAAGCACCAAAGTAGGTTTCAAACACATGGATTCTTATTTACAAGTTATTAAAGACAAATTATCAGACAAAAAATCTTACACAACATTACATAAAATAGATTAATCCTGAAATACAAGACAAGCATCCTTCCTAAGTTCTATGCTGCATAAATATGTTACTGGGAGATGAATATACATAAATGCACTAAAATCACATATTGAATGTATTGATTTAATACTTTAACTCACTGCCTGTGGTAATGTTGGAGCTGCAGCACCAACATGGATAGCATCATATGGGGCACCAGCTGGATATCCTTGCCTACCATCGCCAACTGTAAATCACATACAACACAGTGGTGTTATCAGTTGTTGGGATTACCAGTTCCATTCCTTGTTAAGAAATTTAATTGGTCTGTGTGATCAATTCGCTATTTCACAGAATACACAATTATGGTTGCAATTAAACTAAGGTCACACATTTTATGCCAAACTTCCTGATATAACAAATTTAGTCACTAGTTTGCACAAGTAGTATGTAAAATTGACAGAAAAGTTTTTAGCATGAGAGGTTAAGTATGAAACCAGGAACCATCCATGGATTCATAACTGGCACACATTCAAAACAGTTTTGTGATTATAAGCCATCCAAACTATAAGAGCTTTCAAATTTACATTGGATGCTCAATTTTAATTTTTTAATGTATATTACTATCTCAATAACACAAATATTAATTGTAATACAATGAGGTGAAGGATATCTTTCTTACAATATGACAAGTCAGTCCATAACTCACCTATTAGCTGTATTCTGCCCGATGTCAGTAAATCAGGATTATCTTTCTCTATATTCTTCCTAGATTTATCTACCAGTTCTTTGATGTGGTCTATTCCTACTACCTTCCCGCTGGATCCTACCTGAAAGATAAATAACATGACAAAGAAAATTTCAAAATGTTAACTGCTATTTCTTGTTCTCAGTATTTATCTCTGCTCCTACTATTACCATTTATTACATTATATTACCACTAATGCTGCTGCTACTTCCAAAACTTGAATTATTGCGCATGTAAATGAGGTAGTAGCATATATTTCCAAAATCGACACATGTTTATATTTGTCCTTGAGGTTTCTTACCAAATAAGCTGTCAAGTACCCACATGATCGTAACACATTCTCTTTTGATATGATTGCCAGACAGGCTACCAAGAGTCTTACTATGATTGCCGTACAAGCTATTAGTCCCATTATGATTGCCATATATCAAGAGTCTTATTGTGATTGCCGTAAAAGCTATGATTGCCATACATTCTATTTCAATACGATTGTCAGACAGGCAATCAAGAGTCTCACCATGATTGCCATACATGTACTTTCTATTTCAATACGATTGTCAGACAGGCAATCAAGAGTCTTACCATGATTGCCACACAAGCTACCAAGAGTTTTACTATGATTGCCGTACATGTACATTCTATTTCAATACGATCGTCAGACAGGCAATCAAGAGTCTTACCATGATTGCCATTCATGTACATTCTATTTCAATACGATCGTCAGACAGGCTATCAAGAGTCTTACCATGATTGCCATACATGTACATTCTATTTCAATACGATCGTCAGACAGGCTATCAAGAGTCTTACCATGATTGCCATACATGTACATTCTATTTCAATACGATCGTCAGACAGGCTATAAAGAGTCTTACCATGATTGCCATACATGTACATTCTATTTCAATACGATTGCCAGACAGGCAATCAAGAGTCTTACTATGATTGCCATACATGTACATGTACATTCTATTTCAATATGATTGCCAGACAGGCAATCAAGAGTCTTACCATGATTGCCATACATGTACATTCTATTTCAATATGATTGCCAGACAGGCTATCAAGAGTCTTACCATGATTGCCATACAGGATGTCAAATAGCCACTTCCTGATCCAACATCCAGTGCTGCTTTGCCTTCACTAAGATGATCTTTGAGAAGTTCAAGGGCATGTGCATGCTGAAAGAAGCAAACATCTCACAAATAAACTAATGTAATTTTTCTTTTTTAAGAATGACAAAAGAGAGACATGAATGCCCTAAAATATAAAATTATGATCGGGCAGTTTTTGTTTTAGATTATCAAACATTATTTCAATGATAACAGTCTCCTTGTTGTTAAAATACATTTTACAGGGAATAGCATGTGTATGATATAAGCAAATATGTACTATCTGATACTACAATTATCTTATTTTGATTAGTGTTTTGGAAGAAAACAAATTATCACATATATTATTGTTTTTCCTTTCTCTTAATTAAATCCTTATCTGAACATTTATCCCTTTTAAATTTTTCATTACTGACATATATGTGAATAATAGCAATAAAAGTCAGAGAATAGGCTTGTTTGTGATCTAATCAAGTTTCATCATATCTAGAATATAATACTACATTTATATCTGAATAAATGATCTGAACAGTGTCTCGATAAAATAGTTCAAATTTTATCATTTGTTTCCCTTTCTTGAATATTTCATTGGAAAATCATTACTTGTACACTTACTTTTTTTTTCATTACTGAATTATGACTTCTTTTTACTTCTTGCTGCAATAATTATTATTGTAAAAGTGATTATAATAATACCTCACTATATAGACTTACCATATGAGGTGCGCTTATAGTTACAGCATATCCTATGGTTTACAACAAAAAAATAATTGGGAAAAGGCAATAATGCATTCGATTAATCTTGAAAAATACTACTAATGATATGATCACAAATAAACAACTAGTTTTAGATATCAAAGTAAAATTCTGATCCTACATCTAGTTTGCCCACAAGGAAAAGTACTGATGCACAGGGAGTTGTCAGTATTTTTTTAAATGTTGGTAGCTTTGCTAAATCTGATATAGAGTTTTTATAATGTTGATATATCTGATAGATACCAAACTATTAAGACAAACTATCAATGTGTCAGATTACACAGACATTCAGACAACACAGAATTTATTTTTTAATAGTATCTCTGCCTATCATTTCTTTTTTTTCTAAGTGCAACTAATTCTTCTCATCCCATGAAGTACCTCAATTCAAGTAATTAAAAGTTCTACAGATGTCCTATGGATTGCAACCACAACACCATATTTTCATATTTTTGAAGCAGAAAATAATAATTTCTTGTCACTTTCAAAATACTAGGATTGCCTAGTAATATTAAAGATAAACTTGAGTTCTGGTAATGCGATTGCATTGTGAAAAAAAAGGTGTGGAATGGATCAGAAAAGTTGATCATATAGCATGTAAGTAATGGTGTGTAATGCAAGGTTCTGGAGTCATCAAAATCATCATAAATTTGGCAGAGTCTTGGTAAGTAATAATCACTTACACAGAAAGATGTATATGGGACAACACACATGGTGTCGGGGCTGGTACTACCCTGATTTCCTTATCTTTCTATGCTCATTACTCAGCCAGTATACATTTTCTTCCAAAATTGTTTGGCACATGACATTTATTTGTAATCTTGAACATTCAGTGTAAGTTTCGTTAGATTCTGTGAGAATTCATTTTCTTTTTTTACCATGCAGAACTCAAGTTTATCTTTAAGTCAACATTGTAACAGACAAGTTTTGTGTGTATATTTCTGGCTTTTTCTGGCAGAAATGTCCCTGTAACTTAGAATTGACCAAAGCTAAAAATTCACATAGCAATGCTTACATTATTTAATAATAGATGTTTTCCTGAGCATATCGATCAAATCTTTTCTGCACAAATAATTGCACTAGATCTAGTGCAGAAGTCTATCCAAAATAGCGCCATTAGTTGCTCTAATTTTCTAGAACTAAAAGCTAAACAACTTACCAATACTCTGTGGAGAGTCAGCATATGGACTATTACTGCTGTAATGTTTGCGATCAACACCTCGCATTGCTTTCAAGACTAAATCATTCTTGATGATTCCATTTTCTGCAATAAAATATTGAATAGGGTCTAGAGTCTAGTCTACAGATTTTTGGAGTTCATATAATATTCTTGACCAAATAAACATTTTTTATATTCATAAAAGAGCTGTTAACACTTAAAAACAGCTCTTGTTTAGAATTGCAAGACCATTTCCATTGGGATCGATATTAAATATATTAATAATAACAGTTAGACTAGATCTAATTTATACACAAAGACATAATAGCAGACACCATTTTATATTAGTGGGGCTGAAGATACAATTTATGCGTCCTGAACTGAAATACTTCCGAATTCTAATGATTGACATCATCACACATCCATATCACCCATTTAATATATTTACAACATAAAGTGAGATGATATAATGATTGTCATTATGTACCTTTTAGTCTCGTAATGAGCTCTTCGTGAGATTCTCCGCTTGATCTCCACGCCATCTCTGCACGATGAATATACCGCGCCCCTGCGGCCCCCATAGGTTTACACGTTCCGTCTGCCTCAAACTCTCCGCTGTCGCAGGCTTCCTCGATCTCGTATTCGGCTCTGATTATGCATGTGGCGAAAATTAAAATTAAAATTGAGGACTGAGCCAGAAAAATAAGTAATAGAGAAATTGGAATATGTTTTCTCTTACTTGGCATAATAGATCAAGCGCCTTCACACAAAATGAAAACAAAACGTTAAATATTATCTTTGGATAGATCTATATAATTGCGCAGTTTTCATATCCACCCGTCGTCCTCTTTTTGCCGGTACGCGCGCCAGGAAACCTAGGCGATTTCTGAGAACAGAATCTGTAGATTTTTTCGTTTGGTAAAAATAAAAGATTTTGCCACTGGTTTACTGATGGGAGGTGTGGAAGATTCAGGGACCCCCCCCCCCCCCCCCCCAGGAAAAAATAAAACAAGGAGGAAAAGCCTCCGAAGAGGAACAATGAGGGAAAGAAAAGACGTTAACAATAAAATGTTTTTTTTAATTAACTCATTTCCCTGGTTTACTTTATAGCTAGGTCTATACTGCCAAGCCCGGCTACGATTTGTACTGGCTTATAACGTTTATAGATCATCGTTTCTATGAAGATAGTTTATTAGGGCAAGAAGTATTTTCATAATTCCAATTCTTATAAATTATCTGACGAATTCCATCGGCTATATAGCTCGCTTTAGTAAAACTACAACAAACTGAATTTCTTCAAAGATGACGGAAGATGTGAAATACATTTTTGCAAACAGGGTCAGCATTATTAGTCCGTAGAGAGAGAGAGGACCCCCCGCCCCCGCCCCCCTGCCCTCATCCCGAAAATTTGAAGGAAAACAAATAGTCATGTATTTCAATACTGAGCGAATAGTGAGATTACAGGACAGCAATTAATCTCTGAAGTATACGTTACACCTCAAGTGTCAATTACCCGATCGCAAAAACTTTCAAGAAATCACTAGGGAATTGTATTACCTATAAAATGCGTAATCTGATTACAATTGTTTTATATCTGCTCGTTGCATGTGCGGCACCGTTGACGACTGAAGCTAGCTGACGACTGGCTTAGATACTCCCCCCCCCCCCTCCCCCAATAAAAAACCAGGTCCTTTTTTAGGAATGATCACGCCCAAGGCTCCGCTGTAGTTTTGTTCTACATCATGCTCACCCCCCCCCCCCGCACAATATGTCCCTATTTTCTTTTCTTTTTGGCAACATCAACAACAACAACAATAATAATAATTATAAAACTCAAAAATTGGAAAGAATTATTTTTTTTTTAACATCTGGCTTTCCCGGCAAAATATATTATTATTTGTAAATATGTGGATTGAGGTTCTCAGACTTTATTAAATTAATGAGGTATAGGGCTCTCTTCACTTGTCTCTTTCTGCCTCTTTCTTTCTTTCTCTCTCTCTCTCATTGGGACTGAAAAAGTATTGAATGTAATAATATTTGATAGATAAAACAGAATTCCTGTCCTTCTTGTACTTCGTGTAATACTTTACTTTGTTTATAAGTTACTTGCAAGATCATTGTATCGATCAATAAAAGAATTAACTATGGACTTTGAGTGAGATAAAAATGGGTTTAACATCAGTTTTTCTTTTTCAAAGATTAAAGATGTCAAACCAGATACCTTCCAGTCATGTGCGTACGTAGGGGGGGAGGGGGGTTGGGGGTTGAACCCCCCCCCTCCCTTGGTATTTTTTATGTGTGTATTTTGAAGGAAACCCCCCCCCCCTTTTTTTTTTTTTTTTTTTTTTTGTAATTACAAAAAAAAAAATACAAAAAAAAAAAATATATATATATACCAATGGCTGACCTAAAAAAGTTGACCTTACCCCCCCCCCCCCCCCCTAACGGAGCAAAATGTCAAATTTTCAAATTTCGAGAAAAAAAAAAAAAAAAAAAAAAAAAAAAAGTGTGCTCTTACCAGCATTATTTTGAACTGTCCTGAAATTGTTTTCCTTTCTTGAAAAGAGACTACAGCCCCAGTCTGTTCTTTTTCACTATGGGGATATTGAAAGTGCTCTCAGTACCTTTAGAGACAATACATCAAAATAATGCGGTCATTGTTGCAGTGTCAGGAATGTTATTATTACCTCTTTGGTAAACCTTGCAAGTGACAAAAATATTCGCTCGATGAAGGGAGGGTCGGGGTTTTTTTCTTCAATAATTGATGCCATGTCAGAAAGAGCTGAGTAGTTTGTTACGTAACTATTCAAAAATTGCAGATACAAGCTATTGGAAACAGTATCGAATAGCCAAGCTTCCCTATTCTTTGGTGCCCTGTTAACGAATTCGTAGCATATAGGCCTACTGAATTGAATAGATCCGTTTTGTATTGAGGAATATTATTATGCTGTGTCAGGGCAGTGGCCTATTGTCATATCACTTTAAGTTTAAGTCAGCAGTTTGCAAAATAAATAAAAACTCACTATTATATCAGTAATATCAGTAACTGAAAGAAAACATTTACGGGCAATCTTGACAACAATCGGACTTTTACGAAGTTTATAATTTGTAAATCAATAATGATAAATCAAAAACGATTTTAGCAACTGTCCACCCCAAAAAACATTTACAAAAAATAATAATAATTATGCATCCCGAAAGCGTGAAATCAGTAAATCCACATAATTATTTTGTAAAGTCATTAGCATGCAGAAAGTATAAGAACAAGAAGCGAACCATTTGCAGTGAAGCAAATTGCAGTGAAGCAAAGTGGTCTTGTGGATAAGAAGTATCGCTTCACAATACAATGTACTCGGGTCGGCTCCCAGCTATACTCCATGTTATTTGTGTCATTTTTTGTCTTCACCCCAAAATACCCCCCCCCCCCTCCTCAACAAAGGAGAAAATAACATGTAATACTCTTTCTTTAAAAAGTGACTCTCTGAATTAGTCAATACGTCAGTTAGGCTGACGAGTGTGTATTTATATTGTATAAGGGATGTATAAGTATATATATATGTATGTGTGTGTTGTATGCATGTGTATAATTATGTCAATAATTATGTAAACATACATGTACAGTGTATCTATGTATAGGCCTATGTTGTATAAATGCATGTACTTGTAACGAAGTAAATATATATGTATATATGTATATATGCAGTCTAATATTTCAACACTACACTCTTCACCTATATCTTGCCATTATGTTGTTTATGCATGTCATACACTCCATTGATACTATGTTGCAGTCCTCTTCTTTTCTCTTTCTCCAAGCTCTCTATCCTCCTCTCCTCTTTGCCTATCCCTTTCTTCCTTTCTTCCTTTCTCCCATTTATAATGTAATGTATTTATGTATTCGTGCGTACCCACTACAAGCTATATGCTTTTCGGGTTTCGCGCCTTCTTCCTTGTAATACAGGTTCTTTAAAATATTTATGTTCCTACTTATAAATTGTATTGTTTGGAAGAAAATAAAAGTTCATTTGAATTGAATTGAACTGAATTGCTACATCTACAACAATAAGTATCGATATGAAAAAATACATGGAGATTAGCAGTGTGACACATATAAGCGATCGCCTTGTAACTGGTAACCCAGCTAGTGCTTTTGTTTTATCTTTGAAAAAGAAAAACTGATGTTAAACCCATTTATATCTCACTCAAAGTCCATATTTATTGTTATTCTTTTAATTATTGATCGATACGTTGAGCTTGCAATTAACTTGTAAACAAAGTAAAGTATCATACGAAGTACATGAAGGACAGGAATTCTGTTTTTTTTTTTTTAATTATTATCAACCCAATACAGAAAAACAGTGATAGTACTGATATCTCTTACTCGATGTTGGCAACTGTCCACCAATAGATATATTTTAATCTCTTGCACCAACTCCATCACGAAGATCATTTGAAGTGAAATTAAGAACAGTTTATTTCGCGTGGTTCGTACATCATATAATAAACAATTGACATGTTATTTCTTGGTTAGTATTCATTATAATCAATATGTCTATTGCTACAACGTGAATGTAATTGTAACATGATCAGACAAATAATCTATTGGTCAATAATTGCCAAACGAAAGTCTATAGAATTGATAACATGAATTAGATATGATTCTATTGATATGGAGGTAGAAAATCTAATCACATCCTTGCCCAAAATAAAAAAAAACCGACGACTGCCAGCTAGCTGGAAATTCAATGCCCTGGAAATTTATGTCTTTGAAATTTATGCCTTGGAAATTGTACAGTCCCATTGGTTTATTTCGTTGGGGAAAAATATATCTCTCTCACTCGCACACTCTCTCCCCCCCCCCCCCCCCCCCCTCTCTCTCTCTCTCCCTCTCTCTCTCCCCTTCTCTCTCCCCTTCTCTCCCTCTCTCTCATTCTCTCTGTCTGTCTGTCTCTCTCTCTCTCTGTCTGTCTGTCTGTCTCTTTCTCTCTTCGGACAATTTTAGAGAATTAACAAAGGGTTGTCTTTGGAACCGCTTCTATCTTTATGAATGGGGTCCACGGGGCAGACCCCCGGACGCTCTTGAGTTTTACCTACCTTTACGTTACTGAAGGTAGAGATATTTTGTGTTTTTATCGTTCCTTTTTTTCTCTCTCTCTCTCCCTCTCTCGTTTTTCTTTGTTAAGTCTCTTTTCCGATCTTTTCTTTTTCTTTTCTTCTTTTTTCTTCCGTTGCTCTCTTGTTCCCTCTTTTTTTTTTAGGTCGCTAAAAGGGGGCCGTTGCCGATTCAGCCCCATGGATACGCCACTAACTTGTTTGAAAAAAGGGATTGTAATTCAAGCCAGACGAGAGGGATGATTTTTTACATGTCTATTAAGATATGGCTTAAAACAACATCGTTTTCAAAGAAGACCCAATAAAAAAATGAGTTACGGAGACGGAAACAAGATCATTATTTTTAATTTTATTTGTTGACTGAAATTTTCTAAATGTACGGATAACTATGTCATACTTTACAAAAAGGAGTTGTCATAGAATATAACTGTAGGAAAGTCGCGTCAGAAAGTTTGGGTAGGAGAAAATATTATAATGTATCAGAAACAAG